AGTGAACACACAGGGATTGAGCAGAGGGAAAGGAGGCTCGTCCCCGTAGTTAAATAAGGAGAAAGAATCCCGGGAAAGCAACCATCGCCCGGTTCTGAGCTCATCGCCTAGAAGAAAAGCCTGTTTTGTCACCAGCTTTCTCAAGTGCTTCCAAGAGGAGCTTTGCCAAGAAGGCTGGGCTGAGCCCAGGCTGAAGCCAGTTCTGGGGCTGGCTGCACAGACAAAGCAAGCGGTTGGGTTTGCTTTGTTCAAAACACCGATCTCAAGTCCTTGTCACGGCACCGTCAAGCCCCCAGGTCTCGCCCCTAAAGCAGGAAAGAATTAACCTCTTAACTCCTTCACATTCTCCATTAGAAGAAGGAATCCAATACAAGAGTCTGGATTTATTGGAAATAATTCGGTTTGAAAAGTTTTTAATTTAAAATTTACAGCACACGGGGGGTGGTGGAGGGAGGAAAAGGGGTTTGTTACAACTAAAAAGTCTCAGAGGAGTGCTGCAGGGTTGTATTTTCTCTTTAATTTAACACTGTCATGGCTTTATTCAAAACACAGTTGCACAAAATCAGTTACTCCAAAGTTTTCAGGAAAGAAGTCTGAGAAGGAACCGAAACACACTATATACATACTGCCATACAAAGAGCATTAAAATAGGACAAAAACCTCTACAAAATATAAAACCCACCCTGACATATTTGCATGAAAAGACCACCCACCAAGCAAAAAAGTTTCCAAAGTTAAATCTGGAGGCTCTGCATTGCTTCAGTTCTATAAAACGCTGCTTTTGCTGCATGCCAAGCTGACGAGTAGGAAACGCTCCGTCGCTGGGAACGCCGAGGGAAACACAAGTCCTGTGCGAGGAGAGGCTCTTCGGACGCGGTGCCTGATGCGCGCTGGGGTTAGGAAGTGGTAAGTCTGCCTTAGCTCAGGGAAGGTCTGAGTTTAGCTGGTTTATGAGCTCATCCAACATCAGAATTGGACACACAAGACCGGTGTTCAAATACTATCACGCCATCAGAATAGACTTTTTCCCCCCCCAATTTGCTATGCATCAGTAAGACAGTTAAGGAGAACCCTGACAACGAGGTACTTTGAAGTACACACTTATAAATAATAGATTTCAATCATCCACTGAGACTTAAAAAAAAAACAAACCATAAGCAAAAAAAAAAGATGGAAGAACACACTTTTCTATCCCAAAGCTGAGCACGAAGCAACTGCCTTGAACACAGAGCCTCCAGGACAAGATAGGATGTGCACTTACCTACGGGTTCTACTCATTCAGTATTCACACACGAGCACAGGAACTGAAGGTTGTGGTTGCAAACGTTGTTTTACCACTAGTGTCTTTACAAGAACTGCAAACCCCGTTGAGTCACTTCGCTTCCACCCGACTCGCTCCGCTCGGCTGCTGTCTTCAACAGCTACACAAGGAACTAGGACTTAAGGCTCTATTTGGGGAGGGGGAAAACCACGCACACAAGAAATGGGGCTTTGCAGAACTTCAACCCTGCAGTAACTAGACTCGATTGAAGAGTTGGAAGTGTGTAAAATGCCTATTAAATACTCACAGGTAACTTATGGGTGAGGGACTGAATTAGCTCCAGGGAATCTCCCTCTTCCCCACCCTCGTGTCTCCCCCAGGTTAACGGCAGCTACTGTCGGCCAAGACAGATACAAAAATAAGTCTCTTGAATAAAGCTGTGTGTGATATTTGGTTCAGTACCTACGTGGAACAATGGGAATTAGTTTCATCTCAAGCCTACTGGTTTCAATCCAAATCCCAACTGGAAGAGGAACGCCGTCACGGCTGAACTTGGCTGGTGGCTCGAAGAGAAAACATCAATCTTGGGGTTGTCACAGAATTGGGACAGAATTAGTCCGACCTGGTGGTTGCAATCAGGCTGCTAGAGAAGAAACACCCCTTGTCTGCATGTCTCCTGTACTTGCCACCGACTGCATGCAACCAACCAGCTTTCTGCAGCCCTTCAAGATAAAAAACCCTAACCTATGGACTAGTATTATACATGGACTCCAATGGTTGACCTACAACCAGATGTGAAAGGTTTCAGAGGTGACCTGGGAAGAAAGACTAACTCATGTTCATCTTTTCCTCTTCAATGACTCT